TCTACAAATGTGATTTTGTTACTCTTATATTAAAATGTCACATCCTTGTAATTTTTTTTCTATTTTGTACACTATTAGCATGTGCTAATTTTTATATTGAATTTCCACATGGATTTTTCTATATATGATTCCCCATAACTCTATGTTGTTTTTAATTTTTTTCAATGGAGCTTTGTAGATTAAAATAATTCAGATTTTTAAAAGTAATTTGTGTTTGCATATATTCTGCATAGCATGCAGTCTTTTTTTTTTAATTATGAAGAACGCAGCAGAGATATAATCTACTTTTCACGATATGTTCTTTATTGCTGAGTTCATTCAAGCCTGTAGTGGATGTGGTGCTGAGAGAGTGCTGACACCAAGTGCAAACACTGCTGAAAAGTTCTTGATGGTTTACTTTAGGCACTTAAAGATTAGTATATCTCTCTATGAACAAGTTTTTCATGCAGATTTGACCTTTACTCTAGGATATAATATGTCTCTTAGTTATATGTTAACACATTTTCCCACCCTGCTCCTTAGTGCTCCATTCACAGTTGTCAGTACCAAAGTCATCCTTCTCCTTTGTTTCATAACCAAAATAAATTATTGTTAAAACTCCACCAGCTTTATGGGACAGGTAGATGAGCAAAGAATTTTCTCTTTTTTGCTTGCTTATGAGTATTTCTACCATTAGATATAACTCTTCATTGTGGAATATGTTAACCTCATTAGAAGGATATTTTTTTAAGTTTCTGAGAAAAATGAACTATTGAGTATGCATGTGTGTGTATATATTAATGAGGGTAGCAGTACAATGTGCTACAGTTGAAAATAGACCAGTTTTCATCTATTGGAAATGTTTAAAATATTCTGTTAAAGATCCGTGTTTAAATGTTTAGCCATCAGACCAGTTGATGAATTGGCCTTGCAAATGTTTTTGTATACCTTGAAGAATATATATATATATATATTTTGGATTAATTGTTTGAAATGTGATTATATTTGTTTCCTAGAAGTGTATGGATTAGGAGGGATACATCTCTTTGCTGCTTTACAGGCAAGCACACCAAGTTACAAACCAACAAAAATATTTGCCAGGAAAATTCTCTTGGCATTGTTTGGAGTGGTTAGAGTTTAGGAATGGCTATATTTGGTTAGATAAAGTCTCCACCTTGCTTATAGTCCTGTCTCCCATTATAGAAACACAGATGCTCAGGAAGAATAAAATAGAACAAGCACGTATGACGCTTTTCCACTCTGGCTATTTTCAGCTGGAGGTATTTCTGAATTAAACATAGTTTCTGTGTATTTAGGTATTATCAATGTATTTTCCTTCCATGTACTTGTGCAGTCTCCTCTTGATCCTATTGAACTTTTAGTCACCACCACATCCTTTGTCAGTAGTTTCCACTTACCTGTAGTGCACTGTGTCAAGAACCACAGGCATTCCTTTGTTTTGAAGCTGGGTCCTACCAGCTGCTGCTTGTAGAAAAGGCTTTTGGGCAGGTCTGTTTGGGTAAAGAAGTTGCTGAAGTATTGGATCTGAACAGGGACATTTAGAATGAGTAGGGAGAATATGACCGATCAGTAGAGATGACACTGGAAAATTCAAGTTTCGTGCAAATTTTTTTAAAGGACTTCTCCACTAATCTGATGATGCCATCCAATTAGAGATATACTTTATTTCTAAGAAAGGGAATAGAAGGATCAGGTAGTATAAAAGACTTTTCAACGCATTTAAAGGCTGAGATAACTGCACATGCACGTATGTAGTGGAAACAAAGTAAACTTGGACAATGAAGATTGTTTTACTAAACTGGTCTCATTGTTGGTTATGATCTAATGCGTGTTGTGGTCTTTGGCCAAAGTGTATTTCTTAGACAAAGGAAACATAGTAATTTATAGGAGTTTTATTAGAGCATTTGGTACATCAAATGACTGATCATTAGTTAGAATTAATTAAAAATCCCACTGTAAAATAGGTTGAAAAACCCTAAACATGACCTGACTCAAATGGGACAACGGTAGGTCATGATATAAACCTTGAGTGAGGTTATTAGTTTCTGAAAGGAGGAGTTTAAGACCAGTACTGTTTAATGTTTTCACTTAATGATCCTTGTGCACTCAATAAGAATGTGTTAATGAAACTTGTTGATGATATAAAATTGGTCATATAGAGCACTGGGATTTAATTTTGTTTATGTCAGAGTTGTGCTGGTGCTACAGGAAATGCAATATGTTATGGCATAAAGAATTTTAATTCAGGTGAGGTTTGAAGCACTGTTTCAGGACATAGTACTTGCATGCCCTTATAAGGATATAGTGCTTGCATTTTATCTAGAGCACTTATGAAAGTGTTTACAGTTTCCATTAAGGAAGTAGGTGAAACAATAATGAGGTAGAAAATTTCTACATCAGACATAGTATTTGAAAAAAAAGTGATATCTTATTTGTGTCCATGTAGTGGCTGTTTTTCATTGCAGCTATTTTTGATAGTGTTTAGTGTTTCAAGGGTGTGGTTTTTTTCTGCTTCACTATTGAGTGTACAGTGACTAAAAGCATTAAAAGTAGATTATGTCTCTCAGTTACTAAACATTTATAGATGTAGGAAATGATGGTCAATTAAGTACAGCTTAGAACAAGTATGAAATTATTGACTTAGATGATCTTCCCTTACAGTCCTTCCTTAGGAAAGTGCTGAAATGTGTTTTGTAGTTATTTAGTTGCATTAGTGGTTGAGTTTGAGGCTTTTAACGTGTTTTTTCCCTAATACCTTTGGGAGATGGATAACTAAGATGTTGATACAATAATGTGATATGCATACTGAGTGTAATTGTTTGAGAGAGAACATATACTGTGGGGAAATATTGAATGGATCATGAAAGATGATGACCATTAGTCTTTTCTTTCAACTATTAAAATTAGCTTTAGGGTGTGTTCAGCTGTGATTTATGAAATTGTTTAGACTAACGCCGCCTTTGATGATGTCTGATGTAGAGAAAAATGCTGAAAAGTATCACGATAAATGCACTTTCTTTTCAGTTTTGTCAAGCTCCATCTTCACCAATTAAATGTTCAAGTACTGTAGTGAGCTCTCTTGAAGGGCAGAGTAACAGATGGAAAATATTTTGCATTTCTTGCATTTTCACACATTTAAGCTAACAGAGAATAGTTTCAATTAGCATATGAAACAATATTTAAAACTTGATATTGCATTTAACAACACTTGGAGGATTAGTTGCATGTGCTATTTTGTTTAGAATGTTAGCAACTAAAAGACTTTTTTGTAATAAGAATAAATGCTTCTTGTTTCAGCTATTTCAGACATCTTACAATGGTGGCTACATATGAGAGAACTTAGGGGAAGGATGGTGGGAGAAAAAGTAGTGAAATATATGTGACAATAAGGACCAATGATGCTGCTTGATGTAGCCTCAAAAAAAATAATAAAAAGATCCCAAAACTCCCACCAAAACCTCCGTATGTGATAATATGTAAATGGAACTTAGCTGATGCTTAGACTGTTGCTTGCTTATTAATGCATGTAAACTAGTTACATAAAAAGTAATGAAATACATTTACAATTCATTATGAATATGTTACAAATGCCAGTTATTCTACTCTTAATTCTTACTACTTGAAAATTGTAATACGTTGTTATAACTTGAAAATGTGAAAAGAATATGTTGTGCCTTGAGAGATCACAGTTACAATCTCTCCTCTGCATTTGAAATTTGGAAAATTATTTTCTTGGAGGAATGGGGATGGCTGGAGGGAACACAGGGGACTGGATTTAAATTTTGAATAAACAACATTGTTTTAGTGGCTTTTGTGTATGTCATTGCCTGAGAGGTAATTCTGCAAATCTGAGCAGTAAAACATGTACTCGACACTGTGTATTCAATATTCCTGCATGCAGAAATCTGAATTTTTTTAAGAGATATTTTCAGTTTAGCACTTTTTGCCTGTTTTTGAGCTGACGAGATTTTTGAAAAGAGCCATGGTGATAGAAATACTAATGTGAATGATCGTTAGGAATATTATTTCATACTTTATGAAAAATCGAGGAAGCTGATGGGGAGAAACATATGAAACTTAAGTATCTCTCTACTACAGAATCAGTCTTTTGTATTAGTTTAGAAGAGGTGTAGAATTTAAACAAAGTGTTGTATTTGACCTGTTCTATCCAAATGCCTCTACGTTTTCCCCGAACTATGAGGTTCACACATTTACTGCCCTAATTTTTAGCTCTGCCAGCTTGTTCCTATTGAGTCTAGTATTAAAAATCTTTTTTGTGGTGTTGTTAACGAATTCTGTTTTCTCCTCAATTTTCAAATGAGGGAAGCAAGCCCCAGTGGTTGGTCATCTGAGTTGGTTGCTTTCCACTGTTTCTCTTCTGAGGGGCAGGCAAAACCCACCTACGTGTTTAAGAGGTGTAGAATCTTGCTGTAATTCAGGGTCCATGTGGATGACAGAAATGTGCAGTGCGTGCGTGTCTGCTGTTACCATCATTTCAGTGTATTAGAAATTCAGAGTGTTTAAAAATGTGTTAAATTTTATTGAGACACACTAGGTGGTAGTGATGCAATATATGGATCATTAGCAGATTTTGTGATGCTGAGGTGAGGATATTATTGGCATATATGTCAACTAGACTTTAAGCTATAAGAGAAATTGTCTAAACGTGTCTAAAGAATGAACCATACATTAACGTGAAGCAGTTTATTTCCAGCATTATCAATGTTCAATAATGCAAAAGGCATAAGTGAACCAGAATGCGTTCAGAATCACTGCGTAACATTGCAAAAGAAAATGATGCAGTTGTTTGTGGGATGATTTTCTTCTCCCCTCTGCCGAATATGACTATGAGTAAATGATACTGTTGTATTTCTTCATGCTGACAATGTTTCTTTCCTGATGAGCATGCAATTAGTGCCTTATGTGTTTGCTGATAGTGATCTAAGTTGCTAAAATTAGTTTTGTTTTTATACAACTAGTTTTCTCTTGTTTCTTCCCAGGAGTGGCAGAACTCTATACAAAAGAATGCTGGCCTTGCCTTTATTGAGCTTGTCAATGAAGGAAGGTAAGTCACAGTATTTGATAGCACCTCTGCCTTAGCCTTCAAGAAGTTGTGAGGCTTAAAACTTTTTTTTTTTCTGCCTTTATGAGTTATATTCTTGGAGTTTTACAGGCATGATTTCACATTCTTCAGTACTTTGGTTCATGTCTAATGCTGAATATGGGATTTTGCAGAATTAGAACGCCCTTTACTTTGATTAAAGTATTTCACTTATCGATGTGTCATGGATTTTCGTGCTTCCTGTCCTTGTGCACTGGTTAACGCTGAAACTAGCATTTGTATTCACCTAATCTCTCGAGGAAGGGAATTGATATTTGGAAGACATTATAGCTAGGAATTGTAAGATAAGCCTCTGTCTCAGAAATTAGGTTCCAGATTGCACATTTATTTCCTATCTACTTTGTAAAATAGAAAGGACAAGAGTCACTTTAAGGGAAAAAAAAATCTGTTAATATTACCAATTAGTTTAAGATTCTATCTATAACTACGTATGTATATTACTGGAACTTACAGAAAATGACAGAGCAGTGGTGAGACCATGCTCACTGACTTGTAGTGACTATTCAAAACCATCAATATTTTCTTCATTAGGAATCAATTGTTGAGGCAGACTAAGGACAATATTTACTTTTTCTGAAGGATTTTTTTAAGGATGTCTTAATGAGTTAGCTAAGGAGTATTGTAAGAAATGCCGTTTATCTAAACTTGATTTCTGTTCGTGAGTAACTTGAGCTACTAAGAATCCCAATAGAAATAATTTTTATAGGATTAGGACAGCTACTGAATTTAAACCAAAATAATTTACCATATAAATTAAAGTGCTACATAAATATGCTTTTATCACTATAGGAATTTTTCTTTTAAAATATGTATGTGTTCTAAAGATAAATAATGATAATTACTATTGTAGTGATTGCATTTCAGTTTATGGTGAGGGAAACGCCATTCTGAGGCAGAAAAAACCATTTTGCTACTAGTCTGGATCCCAAGGGCCAAGGTAAAGTAACAAGGGTGTTCAGTTACAGTGTTAAGATCTAGCCTGTAGTTGTTTCCTATTATGTGAGACTGACCTGTCTTGACCTTACTTATAAAGTGCCTGCTATAAATTTGGCCCTTGATTAATGTTTTATTAGCATAGATAAAATAGAGATCCCACACACATGTAAACCACAATGTAAGGTTCATCTCTGTAAGATGATTATCATGAACAAATCAGTTACTGAGACTGAGTTGTAAGTAGCAGTTACCTAGTAGATATTCAGCTGGTCCAGGTCAAGCTTGCAGTGAGCATTCTATCAGTAAACTGTTTGGAATGGACTATTTTCTTTGAAAAAACCGGCAGTGCCCATCACAGACAGATGGAATCGCTCCTCCACCTCCATAAACAACATCAATAACTTATAGTCTAGCCTTAGCGGAGTGGTTGTCTCAGGGACAAATGATCCCTTGAAGACTGAAAAGTGTGGTTTTGGTTAGCAGAAAATACCTAAGTAGTTGTTACTTCATTTCAGTTCTGACTCGTAGCAGAGTTGTTGTTTTTTTTTAAAAAAACGGGGACATAGCTTTGATTATGGGGAAAAGGAGAGGGGCTTAATTTCTTAAAAGTGGTTCCTTTTATGCATCTCCATTTTCCTCCATTGCTGTTTATAGGAGCCTTTCAAGTTATTGCTGAACTGATCATTGCGGTGCTTTGTGGCTTTTCAGCAATCACTAAAATGAAACTGTTATCCCTCACATAGCATAAACTATGTTCCAGAACTACTCTTTTCTTCTCTTTATGCAGGTTGCACATTATTTTTATTCCACATATGCTAACACTTGCAGTAAAATATTTTAGGCTTTGTATTTTATCTGTTATTGTTTTATGTATTTCTGTCATAACAGTATAATCTTAAAAATTCCAAAAGCCAAATATTAACAAAAATTGAAAATAGCTGAATATTAAAAAATACAATATATAATAAAAGTTGAATTTATCAATTGTTTCTGTAAGTACTTGAGAAAAGAAGACAAGATAATTGTATAAAGGACAGAACTAATTTCAGCAAGTAAGGAAAGATGTTTGGAGTATCATGACATGGAATGTTAGAATAAATGAAATAAGATTAAGGACTGGAAAAACTGCCTAGAACTTGCAGAATTACTGAATTGCCATTGTCTGTTGCCTTGATGGAGAAAGACTTGGTCATCCTATAACTTTGTAAACCAGGGTTTTGTTCCCAATGTTTATAACTAGTTTGGTTTTTTTTTTGACTAATGATATCAGAGGATACTCCAGTTTGAAGGGTGTTCTGCTGTATTTGTTCACCGGGCAAATAAGACAACTGAAAAATCTTTCTGGAGGAGAAAGAGGACTAGAAGAAGAGCTCTAAATCTCTTCTTGTACTTGCTTTCAATATATTTCTTGCTTTTATGTGAAAGGTATGAATGTACCTCTCTCTCTCACAGCAGTTGAAAGTTTTATGTTTAGGCTTGCCATGTTTTGGCTAGGATTCCCTGGGCAGAAATATGTGCAGAAAGTTTGCCTCTGGGACTCATAAGATCTGCAGTGTGTGTGCTGCATTCAGAATGTGTTGGTCTGAATTTCGTCATGTTCACAAGCAACTAATGTGTTACATGTACATTTGCTCCCAGGCTTTCCAGGTATATCAGGTCCATTGCACATAGAGAGCAGAATGATTTGTTTGTGCCCAGTGAAATTTTCAATCTTGAACTGAAAAAAAATCTCGGAACAGGAGGCTAGTATGTATTTGCAAATGCAGAAATCATAAACCTACCTGAAACTGAAATACACAACTGAAGTCTTCTGAAGGCCAGGTTACAAACACTGAGGGAAAGAAAAAAACACAACAAACAAAAAAAAAACTATGTAGAAAACCAGGAAGGTACAGAATGGAGTGAAAAGCTAAAGAAGCAGATATCAGAAAATAACCTCTTTCTGTGCATGAAAAGAAATGTCAGTTTCAGTACATTACTGCACTGAACGTAAATCTGTTTTTAATAAAAATGAGTAAATATTGTTCACTGGTATTGTAATGTCTGGGAACACTATTAATGCTCTTTGAAACCTTGAGAAAAAGGTGCCTGTATCCACTGCTTCTCTGTGTTCCGAGCCATGTGTGCAGCAGAAGTATAGATTGCAAAATGGTTTCCTTAGCCTGCTGAACTTGTGTCAGTCTAGATTTCAGTCTTTGTGCTTGCCTTTCACCTTTGGGTCCTCCCTTTAGGGAGGGTCTGTTTTGGAGCCTCAACCTGAGAGCTTACTGGTGAGGGAATTTGTTCACTGGCACCATCCTTTAGGTGTGATTTAGTTCACGGTCATGGCCAGACCTCTCCGTTGGAGACGTCCAAGGTGTCTGGACGGATTCCATTTTTTCCACTCTGAAACTAAGTATGTAGGACATTGTCAAGCTGTTATTTCTGGGGGGAAAAAAACAACCACAAACCAGCTTTGTTTTACTTCCTTGCTTGCACAAATGTCTCTGTTAGACTTATTTCCTCTACTTGACTAGTTAGCAAACAACTCCTTTGCTCTGTGAAGGTTAAAACTCTCTCCTGTCGCTTTGATTCATTAGCACACTTTAGTGTGAAACATCTCTTAAGCTAGACATTGTTTTCTGTATCAGTCAGTGCACTAACAAACGTACTCGAGCTTGAGACTAGGCATGACAGTTATTATCCCCTTTGGGGTGATAATGGGTTTGGCATGGCAGGGGTTGAGGGATCAGTCTCCTAAGCATGCTGCAGCAATTACTCTTTCTGGTTTTCACTTGAAGAGACTCTTGAAGATGCTTAATTTTCATTTTCTCAGGCATAGTTTTCATGGTCATCCAAAGAATTAAGCGCTGTGTTCTGCACATATATACATATACATCTGTAAATGAATATTCAGACAGCAGTTGCTCAAAAAAACCCTGTCACACAAAGTTTAGTTTAGCCTCATTAAACTAGTAGAATACGTGTATTATTTCCTCTCCTTTGCCTTTGCCCTTTCAAATCCTTAACCAAAACAAACAAACGAAAACTTAGAGATTCACAACTGTGTTCAGGAGAAGCAGAACTAATGAAGTTTATTTTTCTGTAGGTTTTTTTCATTGCTAAATTATCTGTTGTCTAATGAGGAACGAAATCTAATCAAAATTCTCCTGCCGTATCAGAGAATTCTCGGTGGTGGATTTTCTATTATGGCTTTCAGTGCAATTGCAAACAGGTTGTGTTTTTTTTTTTTTTAAAGGATGCTTGCTAGGTTTTTGCTCTCTGTTGGATAGAAAACTTGAATAAAATTAGTATTTTTGAGAAACTCTAGCCTTCTATTAAAAAAAAAGTTAGAATTATCCAATTATTTCAAAAATTACTAGGAGGAGGAGGGAAGACAGACAGCATGCAAGTCTAATATCCTTAAGAAGTAACAATTCCACCAACCAACCACCAAAACCCCCAAACCTCTCCAGAAATGCCCAGATGTAAGAGTAGTTTAAAATCTGGAAGGCAGTAATCATCTCTATTTCTATATTTATTTAATTTTTTTTTTAAGAAGGAACTGCACTAAGAAAATTTCAACATATGTCACCTGCTGTTCCTTTTCTTCAGTTGTTCATATTACTTTTGACTGGTCATGGATGCAGATATTTTTTAATATTGAAATAGTTGGCAATCAAACTAGTTGGCCAATTACTTGGATGCTTTCCTAGTGGGAAATAGGGCACAGATGTCGGCTGCCCCGTTCGATTGTCTTTCCCTTTTGGTAGTGTGGTCACTCTTAAGGAATGAATGTTAGAGAATGTGTTGCCATAGGAGCAACTGCTGTGATGGAACATAGTTAGAAAAATACAGCTATTAATAAAAAAAATGGATGATAACTGACAGACTTATACTTTGTGCATAACTGACCAAAAAAAAGGCTCAGCAGAAAAAAAAGATAAATGAAGTCATGTCCAAACTGCTGATTACTGCCAGTCTGCTCCCCTTACTGCAGCATCCTCGCCCTGAGATTCTGATAACACAGAACGCACACCTTAGTCTTGATTTGTAAGACAAAAAAAGTGTTTTGCAAAT